TTACAATCTTCTCTCCAGACTTTATGTCGTTCCCTTCACAGACCTCCGCTCATGATTTAGAATATTTAAATTAAATATTACTGTATCATGTTACCTTCTCCATCTCTTTCTATTTGGCAAATAATGTTATGCTGAGCTTCACAGGCTTCCATAATAAGTTTCCCGTTACTACTGACAAAGACACAATATTTTCCCATAGTTTTTTCTGGTTGGCCTTCGTCCCAAATCGTTATTTTAGACGAATCGATGGGCGTTCCGTCTTTAATGGTTTCAAATCTGTCGTATTGGCTATTATAAGCAAAGCCTGTCCAATAATTGAGTTCCTTACTTTTCTCTAATTCTGCCTCTTTAATTCTGTCTAAATCTTCTAATGTTTTAACAATAGGCAATACTTTATATTCATTATTGCACATATCTACAGCCTGACTTTGGTAATATTGGGTTCCTAGCCTTATTACTATATCATCTATATTTGATAAAGAAAAATATAATCAATTATGTAGCTTATCAAGTTTTAAAAATCATTAAAAAGAAAAGTAAAAGAAGAAATTCGATAGGAATTTCACAAATGAAAATAACAATTAAATTAAGAATTACGGGCGTTATGAAAGTGACAAATGCACCAATACACATGTATATACAATATCTAAGATTACTTTTCATTCACAGCGCTTGATATCTACATCCATAGAATGAATGTACTGTGTACAGGATATATACTGTACAGGGTGCAAACCTGTACAAGCCGAACAACAGAATTATAGGCCCCTGGGCAAAGCAGTGCACAGGGCCCTGCCTACATAACCGGCGAGTGATCGGAAAATTTACTGTTAAATTATGGTCTGTGCATAAATTAGCGTGGGTCCCCCGGGCAACTGCCCAGAGTGCCCATGCGTTAAGATAGCACTGCCCCTCTACTCTGTACACTGTACATTTACCCCTGTACCAAGGGTGAATGTAGGTTTTTAAGTTCTCATTCGGGCCTCCTCCGAACATCTGTACTGGTTACTCTATTGCAGGGGTGGCCAAACTTTTTAGCAGGCGGGCCAAATTTTAGAAATAATATTTCCTGCCCGGCCACGCACCTAATTTTTTTTTAATTAAAGTAAACAAGCAAGCGTGCTACAGCTTCAATCGCATCGTTGCTTTCCAGTAGGTTGAGATCGTGGTCAAACACTTGCCTGGTTTAATGTAAAAAAAAAACACACAAAAAATAGGCATATTTATTTTTTTTAAGAAAATAAAACATAACCGAGAATCATTTATTTAATAACCGAGAAACATATTTATTAGACAATTTAAAAATATTTAAAAGTGAGACATCTGACTTTGTTTTACAGAACAAGCAAGTGCATCAAAATTGATCTGGACTGATGTTGTCGCTACACGCAAACAGTTTTCCAAATGAACATCAGTAATTCGTGTTCTCACTTATGATTTGATGTACTTCATGCGACTAAAAAGTTGTTCACACGCATAAGTGTTTCCAAATAGCGAAACCANCTATTCATGGCATCACTAGTAAAAACTTTGACAAACATTTTCAATCTTAAACAAGGTCTGCATAAGGTCAACAATGATATTCCAAATTTGTTTGTCAAAGATTTTACATTAAAATTTTCGTTATGGGATGTTACAGGTTTTGTTGAATGTAATATTTAGTAGGCCTAATTCATTCCAGTTATTGAGAAAAAAGTAATTTTATTCTAAAAAGTTTTTTCTCCAAGAAAAGCAATTTGAATAGGATTTATATTTATACTTTTATAAATCTGTTATATTTAAAAGTGTACATTTTAATGTATGATGTAAGTAAATGCATAAAAATTAATTTAATATCTCATATTTTTCACTATCTGTAATCTATAATAGTTTGGAAATGTCTGATAGTTTCTTATTTACTTATTACTGTCATTTTGTATTAGTTCCTTTTGTATTGGTGAATAATATAATCAATATTTTCATTTATTTTAATTTTACTTAGAATCATTGGTTGATAAATAAATGGTATGTTTTTTTAATGTTATTTAGGGAAGATATTATGGTGACTAAGCTATGCCAGTACAAGATACAAATTTTGACTTTACAAAACAACAAAAAAAATCTCTCTGTACAAGATTTTGTCAAAAAGACATCACCATATGTATAAATAAATAAAATTTTGATTTATGAGAGATATTCTTGTGTGCACTGATCAGAAATTATGTATGTTCATAAATCAGGATCATACTGCATTTAAAAATACATATTAAATTCTACTAGTTTTATTATAAAAAGACTACCAAACATTTTTCAATTTACAGAAAACTATATTTTCTTATTTACAGATTTCCAAATTCAATCCAACTTCTCATTTTAGTTTTATACCTCAAATGCTTCAGAGTTCAAATGCAAAATTTAACAAAAATTCATCTTGGAGTTCAAATGATGCTTCAAAGTTCAAACTCTGCATGCAGTGAAAAAACATGTTCAAAGCATAAATGCAATCTGTTGTGTGTCCAACTCTTCTCTCACTCTTGCATTATGCTTGTATGTTTTCAGTGCTTTTTTTTGCTTTATTTTTGGTGTGTTTGGTTATATATACTGTGCTGTGTGTTATTTATTGATTTTTAACAATTTCTTCCTGCAAGTTTTATTTGTCAACAGATTTAGGGCAACCCTTATGTTTTGTATCCTTTAGTTCAAAATTTCCCAAACAACTTTTTAAACCACATTTGACATGTTTAAAGTTTAGGAGCATTTTCCCCATACACATTACAATTGTTTTTACTGTTTGTACAGCATTATACCCTTTTCAAAAGTCAGAAAGAATAACACAGTATGCTTGATATGATTTTACCTGAAGATGTTTCATTTGAATAAAATCAAGTCATAATATGAAGTAAAGTAAAATAAGATTCTAAACAAGCAATAAAATCTCACATTATTTATAATGTGTTAAATTTCACAACTGTTATAATTTAATCACACATTTATGTTAAGATGCAGGAGTCCATCAGTGCATCCAATAAATGTAGTTTTTATTTTATTACACAATATTTATCTATTTTATTCATGTTTTAATTTATTACTAAGGCATTTAATTGTTTTATTTTTACCTTAAGTTATGTGCAATTTGATGTTTTAAGTTTATTGAAATGGATAGTGCTCAGAGTCTAGGAATGGATTAATTCACTTCCCATTATTTCTAATGGGAAAAATTGATTCAGACTTTGAATAATTTGGAGTTCAAACAACCTCCTGGAATGAATTAAATTTGAAGTACAAGGCACTACTGTACTTATATTTTTAAATGCATTTTTTTATTTCATATATTATATATATATATATATATATGAAATATATAAAACATCAACAGCACACCATGATATATAACAACTAACTCTAAAAACCAATACTGGTGCATTTTCTCCAAAAAAATGCACTATCACTAACGTTTTCAAACATAAAGTTCTTCCTCAGGTGAGAAACGGTCGAAAAATTGAATAAAATTCGATGGAACACTTTCTGAAAGAGCTCCATAAAATAATTCAAAAAAACCACGTGCGATTGACGACATCATTGCGCATGCACCTTCTCAGAAGTAAAAAATCTCTCTATTAACATCCGTCATATATAAATGCTTGCCACGCTACGGATAAAGCTAACTCCTCCTTACTGTTAATACACTTATTATTTTGGGTGGTTTTGTATATATAAATTGCCTCCATCCACCTCAAATGTTCCGTATGTTGCGTGGAGCGGATGATCTTAGCCTCATCAAACATCGGTTGGATGTCCGGATCTGTGGCGTAACACGCCAAAGCTGTTGTAATTCTCTTATGGAGTATGTCCGCTTTATGTTCTTTCAGTCTTACCCGCAATGAGTGCTTTGTGGAGCTTACGTATATTAAATCCTCATCACATCTGTGATCTTTTAACAGGATGGTATACACTTTAGATAACATGTTTTGGTTGGGAGTATCCTTCGCATTATGGAGCAGCTCAAATATATTAGAACATCATCTATAAGTGATGCGGATTTGTCTCTTTTTAGCAATTTCCGAATAAAGCTTCTCTAGATACCGATTATACGTGACCAGAAAATTGTCTTTATGGTTCGTTGTTTCTTGCTCTTGCGCACTGGTTCTCATAGCTAGTTGAGGTTGAATTATTCTTCTGGATAACCTACTTATCAGGTTACAGTACCCATGACGTTCAGCAATCCAAGTTAAAGTGTTAAGCTCTATTTTAAGCATGTGTCTTGTTGAGGAGTGAGTGTAAGCCCTTTTGACTAATGCATTAAACGCTGCAACTTTGTATTGTACTGGGTCACACGATCCTGTCAGTATGTACAACTACTCCATCAGTGGTTTTCTGTAGACCTCCATGAGGATCGTCACTCCTTTAATATTGATGTTAAGGAAATGAACACAGGTGTTGTTTGTCTGTTCAAGGCCTAAAGTTAAGCCTTAGCAGTTGTTATTGAACATATCTATGAATGCTGCTACGTCTGGTTTAACTTTCCATATGAGGATATCATCTACATACCGCCCAAAATAATAAGTGTATTAACAGTAAGGAGGAGTTAGCTTTATCTGTAGTGTGGTGAGCATTTATATACGATGGATGTTAATAGAGAGATTTTTTACTTCTGAGGAAGGTGCATGCACAATGATGTCGTCAACTGCATGAGGTTTTTTTCGAATCATCTTACGGAGCTCTTTCAGAAAGTGTTCCATCGAATTTTATTCAATTTTTCGACCGTTTCTCACCTGAGGAAGAACTTTATGTTCGAAAATGTTAGTGATAGTGTATTTTTTTGGAGAAAACGCAAAAGTATGATAAATTAGAAAGTAGGTACTGGTTATATACACAGATAGTTATCCACACAAAATTATGGCAATTTAAATTTTATATAATATTCAGAATAAATTTTGGTAGCATTTAAGAATCTCCAATTTGATATTAATGATTAAAACATATCAAACTTTATGAAGAGATGTAACATAAATGAATATATAAATTAACAGAGTTTCTTACTTGTTAATTTTGGCAGTAAATTTATTGTGACTACACAACTGTAATGCAACAGCACCAAACAATCCCCATGTTAAGAAAACTTCTCTTGCAGCAATTAACCATGACTGAAAATTTAAAATATTTATTTTTATAAATATAAAAACAAATTGTAAAAGATACAATATATTTATAAGCAACTTGTATTTAAAATAATTTCAAATAAATTAATTTTTAACTATCACTTTAACTTTGACAATTACAAATTTCAATAATATTGGTACAGTTACATTAATTATTATTATTATTCAGTAGTGAATCTAAAAGGGCAGCAATAAGAATGTCAATATTTTAGCATTATCATTTTTTAACTTTGTTACATTTTTATGTTGTAAGTTTGTGTAGTTTGGTTTATTTTAAATAATCATTAAAGTACCAATAATACACTTTATATCTATATCGTTTATTAAATGAATGAAAAATAGGTCACTAAGATTTACCCCAGGATCCACCACTGATATACTGTATTACTAAATCATCTTACTATTCCTGTAGTAATTTTGAACAATCTTTAACTGCTGGGTTGTTTCAATTATATTAAAAGTAATTATTATTCTTACTGGTAATTAATTTATTTGAAGAAGAAAACTAAATACTTTTGGCATTTGTATAAAATTTTAAATATAGTGCAGTATATCATAATCTGCTTATTGTAATCACTTTCAGGCTTGCTTATATTGATAACAATAAATGACTGGTAACATCAAACAGAAAAAATAATTAAGATTACAATTAATTGAAATTCTGATTTTATTGACTCTGATATTAAAAGGACATAGCTTAAAACAGTTATAAAATGTGTAAGTTGAAAATTTATTATGGTAATTATAGTTATTGTTATTAATTAATATGTAATCCATTCAATATTGTTATTGCCTTTAACCAAATCTAGAATGTAATTGACATAACAAATGCCAGCAATTTATAATACTACTGTGAGCAAATAATAATAAATGTTTAACATTTAAAGCAATGGTTAACACTGATAACAATAACTGATAATTGATAGCAATTGCACATTATCAGTCATATGTTGAGGCTGATGGCATAAAAAATAGGGTAACCAGATATCTGATTTTGGGGGTGATTTTCAGTTTTGCCTGTCTTTAATATTTGGTTGTAGAATCAGTCTTTGAATAGATCAATCTTATTAGCATATTAATATACATAAATATCATCAATTTATACAACAATAAATAAAGAAATTTTTAAATATACTGGTAACCAAAGTTCAGTCAGTTTTAGATTCCATTATCACTGATTCTGAAATTCTAAAATGTGTGTTTGGTTAGATTGTAAATATGATCCATCTACTAAAATGTAAACTTAAAATCATATTTACCTAAAGATAATTATAACCATAGTCAAATCATGATTACAATAAGCAGTAACTGTATACTATAACTGTATACTTTATAACTATACTTTAATTTAGAAATTTTATGGCATAAGGTCATATGGGATAAATAAACCCTCAATTCCAAAATTTGAATGTTCCAGCCATAAGACAGAGTAAACATTACTTGATTTCAAAAACCAATTGCAGAAATAACTTACCTGGTTCTATAGCAATAGGTCATGAATGTCACAGGTGTCATTTGTTGAGTCAGAATACATTTTTTTTTTTAAATAATGCTGAAGGGTGCACTTATCCTTATTAGTGGAGGTATGTGTCCCCTCCATTGTAATAGCTAGGAAAATCCAAATAAAATCAAATGCTAGGACAAGTGTGTCAAAGCTGTGACAGCAAGATTTTGCTCATATACAGACTTCAGTGCACTCCACTGCAAGTATATGCATAGTAAATAAACTAATGATAGCACACTAAAAGGTAACAGTAAAATCAGCATTATTGATTGTAATTTACATCCCTAGTTACAATAAAAATGTAAAGTGATTTACAAAATAAGATAAAATTGCTTGAGAGTAATTTGCTCTTGAAAAGACAGTCTTGAACCACCTTACTCTAGGTTATAGTAAGATCTGAAGTTTGATAAATACTGAGGATGTTTATCAAAGTTGAAAATGAAAAATTTGTTCAACATAATGTTGGACACATGAACTCTGTTGGAAACTTCACAATGACAGAATAATCAACTGCTAGTGTGATGCTTTCTTCTGCCACATGGTGTAAGGAACAAAGTCCAAGCGTTATTTTTTATTTTGTTTTTTATTCTATTTTTGTTTGGGGCTTATGTTTATGTTTTGTTAGGATGAAGGTTTTCTCAACCTTAGAAACTTAAAAATAGAAGAAAGAGAACCAACTCACCGATGAGAAAAAGTGCCATAGAAAAAAAACTCGCACTCCCGAGCAGAAAAAAGTAAGTCCACACTGAGAAAGAGGGGGGATACCCCACAAGCACAACCTAGGAACTTGCTAAACCTTAAAGAATAAAACATCCTGAAAAATTGTAAAAAAAAAAACGTAAAAGGTTAGCGAGTATTGTCAGGAAATAGGCTGCCAGGCAGAAAGGAAAAGTTGACTGTTAGTGATAAGTATGTAAATGAGGGGAGTGATCTCACTCAGAATTGTGACGTCACCTCACAGTATAAAGTCTGAACCTCAAGTGAAAATGACTGAGGTGAGCTTCTGTTAGCAACGAGTGTGGTGAGCTTTGTAGCAGCAAACGACAAGAGGTGTCCAATAGTGATAAAGTTGTTCCAAGGCAATTTGAAGTTATTCGATTTGTGGATCAAAGATTAGAAAGTCTTGAGAGTTGAGGAAAAAGGTTCCTAGTATATTGAGGTGACAATTAGGACTTTAGTTCTTAAGAATTGTTGTACATAAGTTGTCTTTGAATTTTTTGTTGAGTTCCAAAGGGGAATAGATTTAAGTTAGCAAATAGATTGATTTGAGTTTTGTCAGGTTGATTCTTATTGATTTTCATTGAATAAATTGTTCTTTGATTTGTTACTAAATTTTGTACATAGTTATTACTAGAATTATTATTAAATATTGGATTAGTTTTGTCATTATTTCTTTTGGTACACGCTTAAAGTCCAAGCCTGGCACATTAACATGAATCCACGTAAAGTACCTGTTAGGTAACGGCTATTTCCGGCACAAAGTCGTGCCACTAATTGTTGTAAAAGGCATAAAAATAACTTAGACCCTCAAACTAAGTCTATATTGTAAAGTACTATGTGTAGAACACAAATTGAAGTGCATTTACTCCACTGACATGAGTGCACTTAACCAATTAATCAAAATTTCATATGGTAAAGGCATCCTGGCCTGTTGTGACAAAGCACATGGATGTGAAATGCTTCACAGCTTAGAGTAATATTTAAATGAATATTGTATCTTAAACTCATAAAAATTACTGTACCTGTGTAGCTGTACGCTGTATTTTGTATATATATTAATTTAAGTTTAGTTTAGTTTAGTTTCTTCCTTCTATCCTTTGTCCTATTGTTCCATTTCCTTCTAGAACTTTTCTATCTTAATCCCTGTCCCTTGGGTGGGATGACCAGTTCCGAGAAATGGAGGAACAAAGACGTTAGAGTGACCCTGAGGACAAATGTGAGGAGGAAAAAGACACTCTCAGAGAGAACAGCAAGGTGTACAGGAGTGGAGAGAGGACGCTCCGGGTTGCATAGCAACAACTGGAGATCTTGGAAAGAAATGAAGATAAAGGTTCTTGTTTGACGACAGCGACAAAAGACTTTAGAAAAAGGAAATATTATGTAAAGAGGAAGATGACGACAAGTCAAATCCAAGGGAGTTCATCGTGTGGCATCCCACCCAACTGTACAAATAGTTCAAACACACCAACAAAAAATCCCGGGTATTTCTTTTCCTATCTTAGGTATTCTTCCTTCATCCTTCTATCGTTTTCTTCTACTAGTAGTAAGTTAGTATATAAGATTAGTTTTAAGGTCGGGTCTCTTTTTTTTTTTTTGTTATTGCGATCGGAAACGGTACCGTGCATTTGGATCTATAAGCATTGTTATAGCAGTAATTTCATATACCATTGCATTGTATTGTGACGTTGGAATCCATAATAAAATATATTTTTATATGAGCAAAATCGTGTAATTGTATTACTCTTATTTTTGCTCCTTCATTTTCACACCTGCACCCTGTCAGAAAAAAGACCAAACATATCCAGACTTTCAAACCATTGTTGCAACCATTGAAGCAGTCATGTTAAAATCAGCTTTAATACTATCAATACTTGTATTTATGAGCTACAAATCAATGTATTGGTATCAATTTAGATTAGCTGATGATATATTTTGAAAAGGTGTAGTTACCGAATAGGTACACTTATTCCACTTGACTATACTAATTTTGATAACATTAAATACATGATAATAATAACTATAATAAGAATAATCTGCTGTATCTATTGTTATTTAAATGAAGATGAAATATAAATATATAAGAAACTTTAAAGCATACATATTTGATTATATACAAGTATTAGCAATATTTTAACAATCTTTAGATTCCTTACATTTTTCAATACCGTGTTTCCCCGAAAATAAGACAGTGTCTTATATTAATTTTTGCTCTAAAAAATGCACTAGGTCTTATTTTCAGGGGGATGTCTTATATTTCCATGAAGACGAATTCACATTTATTGTTGAACAATACGCTAAACAGGTTCGAGAGAACACCTTGCGACACATTCAACTTAACCTTTTTATAGTGTCCACATCGAGCTCGATGACCAATTAGTGCTTACTGAACCGTAGCACTATGCAAATGTGATGTGGCGTGATTCCCAGCCGACCNATACATGATAATAATAACTATAATAAGAATAATCTGCTGTATCTATTGTTATTTAAATGAAGATGAAATATAAATATATAAGAAACTTTAAAGCATACATATTTGATTATATACAAGTATTAGCAATATTTTAACAATCTTTAGATTCCTTACATTTTTCAATATATCCTCTGAATTTAAAAAGTTCAGGTCAGCTAAGTCCAATTTCCCAAATGGATACAGTAGATCCCCCTATAACACTGTAGATAATTCCATGTTATATGAATTCTATGTTGTACAAGTCACTTAGATTTTACAAATATGTGTGCCAGGCTGTGAACGTCTCACGTATTTGAAAAATCTAAGTGACTGATACAACATGGAATTCATATAATATGGAATTATCTTCAGGGTTATGGAGGGTCTACTGTAATTAGAAAGCTCTTCATTTGAACAGAACAGCAATAAAAACTGCTATTGGGTTTAATGGTTTCTATTTTTTGTTTTTTTCTTAACATATAATTTAAATAAATTTTATTTTTTCAAATACTTTTATTCCACTTATTATGGTATTTCTTCAGAAAGCCAAAAAAATTATTAGAAAAACTTGAAACATAAGTATGCAATTATTATTAAGTGAATTATTTAAGACATTATTCTACTTTACTTCCTTTAATACAGTGTATATGAAGAATAAAGTAAACTGAAAATATTCTTAATGTAAATTTAAAAATTTTTCACAAATGCTGATAAATGATTAATGATATATGAACAACAGTGAACCTTGTTATGGTGTGTGTGTGTGTGTCTAAATTGCATATTATAACTAGATGTTCAATATTTTAATCATTAAATTATTTAAAATAAAATTATGCAAATAAATAATTTATATATACATATTTTATAATTCTTACTTGAGAATCAGTCATGGAAACTTTCCATGAAGACGGAAGGATTTCCATAATCCCTTCACCCCATTGTTCTATTATTCTCATAGTGACAAGAAGTAACAGTATAGAAGGCATAATACCCAAAATTAAAACAACCTGTAAATGGAAAAAATCATTATAAATAAATTATTATTTTCTAAAAGAAAATGCAAATTACTACATTAAAACATTTTTATAATTACAATGTAATTTTTTTACTTTGAAATCTTTTATTTTCTTTAGAAAGAAAATTACAGTAACAACATAAATTTTTGGGTTTTGGTTAATACCATTATTCAGAATATTACATTAATTTAAAGTTTAATGTAACATTTAATTATTGCTGTTCAGTATAATAACAGAGCAATGCTGTAAAAAGTAACAGAACATGAGAAGGAAAAATATGAGGCAAATGATATTTATAGATGACAATGATGTGATAGAGAAGGAAGATTAAGTTTAGAAACAGTTAACAATATGTGAAGATGTTATTCAAGCCTATTGTGTAATATTCAGCTTATCAAAATCATTTCTGATGAATAGTTAATCAGTCCCAATGACTATTAAGACATGACTTGATAGAACTCATAACTTATTAATGCTAATAAGATATATACTTTTGCTCTTTTCATCATTATAATGTGAATTTGGTTACTAAAACAATTATATACATTTAAAATGATAGCTCTAGTTTAAATGTAAACTATTTTGTCTTATTTACACACATGTTTTATTTTCATCCATTATGCTAACAAATTCTGAACTAAACATGTATCATTTTACTGGATTTTACTTCATTATTTAAATTCTACATTATAAAAATTCCTATATTAATTAAGGTAATGATTAAATAAAATTTAAATTATTTTAGACAAACTTCTCTAATCCAACATTCCTTTATTCTGAAACAACTTAGAACACTTAATATCTGTAGAATTAATGTATCAATGTAATTCAATAATCCAACACCCCTCTATTCCAAATTCTGATGTAATTTTGTGAAACAGTAGTGTAATACATGTAGTATTATCTGCTCTTTAATTTGACAATCATCTAGGAACTATAAGAAAACATCCCTGAAAGGCCAGAGAAGTGAGTTTATTTACTATATAAATTCCTATCAGTCTAATGAGCTTGTTTACTCTATTGTCAAAGACCTGAGGATTGTGTCTATCAATCAAGGTTCAATTGCCAACATACTATCAAATGTCACAAAGTTAATTTAAGAATAATTTAATTAAGAAAATAACTTAATTACATGATTTCTGAAGTAATTAATGACAACAATGAAAAAAAGTAAAAGAAAAAAATTAAATAATTGCCTATAATGAAGCATTAAAATCAATAAATAAACTTTTTCATTTTCTCAAGGAAAAGAACCATCTTTGTTAAATCACACAATTCTTTTAAAAACACATTGAAAAAACATTTGAAATTTGTATATTAATATCTAAATTAGCTTTTTCCAAGATGCAGATTGTGGTTAACAGCATTGTGTTAGCCTGTGGAAAAAATTATCAATCCTTGAAATATTTAAAACTTAAAAATAAATTTGGTGTTTTTAAATTTTCCATAAAAACAGAATATAAATCATATTATTCAAATGAACTGTTTTATTACATAACATTGTTTCAGATGGCTGGATGGCCGAGCAGTCAAGGTGGCAGCCTACTGCTCTGGGGACCCGGGATCGAATCCAGATGGGTCAAAGAATCCCCAGGAATTTTTCGGGGGGTGGTCTGTTCGGATATGTCGGGCCCATCCCTCACCACCCAGTCCCATTGTGGGCCTGACCACAATGGGACTGGAAAAATACATAACATTGTTCAACAATCATGGAATTAATAAGATGCTAGTTATTATGAAATAGTCACACTTAAATGATTGAATCCTTGTAAATATTCTTGTTTCTTGTCTGGGTTAATGCTTTATGAAGTAGCCCAAATTTGGCTGATTTGCTCAACCTATCACATCTTATAGATTAAGTGATAAAATTGAGTCAGAGATCAAGTTCAAAAATACATGGAAATGCATTTCAGACTTATAGTCCCTCATCAGACCAAATAGCAAGCATAGATGACTAAGCGGAATTTCTGGCATATATATAAAAATTTGGTTGAGAGCAAGATTATGTTAATCAAATACTATACATTTATCTTCTGAATAACAATTTTAAATCAGCAATAACACACAAGTAAAAAATTAATAGTATACAACAGTATCTCGGCAACAAGAAAGAGGTGTTGTGATAAGCTAATTATTTGCTGAGCACGTTTTGTTTAATACAACAGTAGTTAAAAACACAGTCAATTAAAAAGTTCAGTAAAATATTTCCTCAGCTGTGCACAAAGATAAAATGTTTTACTCAACTTTTTAATTGACTATGTTTTTAACTACAGTAGACCCCCCTATAACATGGTAGATATGTTCCATTTTATATGAAATCCGTGTTTTACGAGTCACTTATATACATGAGCCAATCACAGCCCAGCACATATGCAGTTTAGGGACTACAGCTGTTTTGTCCATAAAATTAATCGATTCTAGGCTAATATGACTCAACATTTCCAAAATACATATAATTTTTTGGGAATAATCCATATAAACTATGCTAGAAACAAAATATTGTAGGATTACTTACCAAGTGTGCACCGTTCGACGACGCCATTGCTTAAGCTTGTTTTCATCGTGGAGCAGCATATCGAACGGTGGGCACATGTTTTCTGATAAGTTATTTTTCTGCGAAAAATTCACTGAACTTTGGAGACATCATTAATAAAAATATAATTTTTATGGCCGTTAAATAATAAATGTTTTTAGTAGGTCCAGTGCTCGTTTAAAGTCAACGGTTTGTACAATATCCGCTATTGGTCTATATTTGACCAATCCTGTCGTAACACAAGTCGGTGATGACGTTTTACCGTATTATACAAGTCTGTTTTAGTGTGTATTTTTTGCCGTTTTATACGAATCCATATTAATTTTTTACTTGTGTTATTGCTGATTTAAAATTGTTATTCAGAAGGTAAATGTATAGTCTTTGGTTAACAATTCAGTTAAGAGCAAGATCATATGTATATATACCAAAAATTCCACTTATAGTTATCTACGCTTGCTGTTTAGACTGATGAGGGACTGTAAGTCTGAAATGCATTTCCATATATTTTTGAACTTGATCTCTGACTCCATTCCATCACTTAATCTACAAGATGTAATAAGTTTGAGTAAATCAACCAAATTTGGGCTAATCAGGAAACACTTGAATGATGCTTTCATATATTTAAGGTTGGTTTTGAAACAAACTATTACCAGTTTCTAATTGGAAAAGTTTGAAAAAGGCTGCTGTTCTAAATTAATCAATAAATTATTATAAAAATTAAAATCAATATTTTATTTTTCAACTTAATAATTAATAATAATGCTTGTTTATTTTAATTTATTTTTATTCAATTCTTATTCTAACATATATTTTTCTTTTTAATTGAAGAAAATTACCTTTCCCAATGATTTTGGGCCTCGACATAATGATAAAAACACAATCAGCCACACTATACAGAGATCAAATGCAACTTCAAATTTTAGTTGACCAAATCCATAATCATTAGGTTTTCTGTCTAATACATGGCCACTATAAAAATAATATATTCATTTAAAGTTTAAGAGTGAAATATTTTCAAGATCATTATTTTGTAACTCCAAAAATTTAAGATATTTTTAATGAAATTGCTACAGCAATTTGATTAAAAGATTTAGAATAATCTAGATAAATTTTTGTATATACTATAATTATAATACTAATAATATATAACTGCTCATGAAATATTAAAATCTTAAAATTATCAAAATATTTAAAACTGGATTTTGCTAAATTATTTGGAAGAGCAATAAAATGGTAATTTTATGCATAATTTTTGTTAACCCAAATAAAATTATTAATGAACATTTGAAGGGATCATTAATTTCTGATAGTAATTAATTTTATAAAATTCATCACTATCTGAAATCTAAATCTAAGGTATTTGAGAAAAAACTGCACAAATCCATATGCATTTTTAGATTCATGGTCATGCGCAAGAGTTGAATGAATTTGTAAATTAGAACACAGAAGTTGTCTGCTTTCAACCAATATTAAATGCTGAAAATTATCTTTTCAGAATTATCATAAGAACTGGAGAAAAAAAAAAAGAAAGAGGAGGGCAAACAGTATAAATTTATTCTGAGCAGCTTCATCCAGACATGAAAAACTCCAGACATCATTAGACATTTTTTGACTGAAGATTTCAAGTAGAGGTGGGTTTACAAAATTCTGGACAGACCAGAAAAAGATTCTGACAGCAGCATAAAGCCAGGTTTAGGTTTAGGTCAATCAAAAATTCAATAGACAAAGACAGATGAAGTCTGAAGCAAACTCTCAATACCAAATTTAGTCTCAGTTTCAACTTGTTGGCCAGCAATGTATGAAGAGTTTAACATGGGATATGTGATGAGAAAGAAAAAGTCCACACCAGAAAAAAAACAAAAGTCAAATAAAAAAATATATTAAAAAAAAAACATTTTAAAGTAACACTTTTTATTTACATAGGGACGCTTTTATTTTTGGTCATAAAATATCTCTAAACAGAAGCATCCAACACTTTTATTTTTAAGGCATAATACCAAAAATACTGTGAAAGCTGAATAAAATGTATTTTTACTTTTTAGTACATTTATCTAAATAAAAAGCATTACTTTAAAATGTGTTTTAATATATTTTTTATTTTCTACTTTTTAGTTATACTGTATGAATGTAACACTAAACTATCAAAACTCTTTACTTTAGCATTTAATTTTATGTGTATTATTCTCTGTGATATTGGTCTTGATTCAAAAAAGCTTTAAGTTGTTTAAATTTGGATGTAGTGAGTGATTAGTCTTCTCAATTACTTTGGTGATAGAATGCTACCTTGAACATGACAGCTTCTATGGCCTGCAAAATTGCTGATACAGTGGTTAATAAAAGTAGTGAAGACTAATATCTTATGTAAATTTTTTATATTTTCTTAAAGATTAAAGGTATACTTTAGCTATTTGGCAAGATAACAAAATTCTTTGTCTTCAGGTTTGTTCTCATGTGTAGGACAGCAAATAACAGTCATTTGTTGTAGCACCATCTGTTAGCAGATTTTATTTACAAATTTTAATTATTTGCTAATTTTTTGTTAATTGTTAAAAATGTTTGCAAAGTATTAAAAAATATACTGTTACTTGCAATACACGTGTGCAAAGTTTCAACTAGATCAGAAATTGGGAAATAGATGAATTGCAACTTTTTACCTGGACAGAGTAAGTTAATAAAAAGCTTTAAAAAGATTCAACAGCAGCAACTATCCACTCTGTTCAAAAAGTACTGTACCGGAGATGCTCTTTTCATAATTGATGTAATCATTAAATTAACTAAATTATCAACAACTGTGAGACAGATAATAGTAAGGGCTATTATCTGCCTCACAGTTGTTAATAATTTAATTAATTTGATGTAATCATGGCTGACAAGAATTACTATCCATTCCTAATTCTTCATCCTACAACTTTGCAAAGAAAAGAGAAATAAGATTATCCGCGCATTCTTTTATTCAGCAGGGCACTGAGCAGGTGCTGCCGGAAATGACGTTTTTGCTGCTGACGGTTGAAAACACTTTTGCTGGAAAAAGAGCTATCTCAAAATGGCTGATATAAACAATGATTTTCTTTCTGCTATATTTACATGCATTTGTTCAATATTATTAGAAGAAAAGCCATTAAGTTCGATGTTGTTTATAAGAAAACCAGGAAATGATGATTTATTTATTGCATTGGCGATGACTGATTCACAACAATGAAGAAAGCATGCAAAAATCATTGGTTATGTTCATGATATGGTACTGCAGTATTCAAATGAAATCTTTAAAAGCCATTTTCGTATGTCACGATTAAAAATCTGCTCATTTAAAACAGCAAAAAACTGATTATTATTTGTTAGTCAAAAAAGATACTTTCTCATGGAGGCATCCATCTTGTAAGCATTATTTTTAGCACGGTCAAGAGGTGTTGCTAGTGCGCTGAAAGCGCACCTTTAGCGCACTGACAGTAGCATAATAATTGAACACATATGCTAAAATTGCTGCAAGTGTACTGAATAAAAGAATGTGTAGTATACCAATGACAAGAAAAGATTGCATGGCAAGACAAAATTTGGACAAAAGTTGCCAGCCTGGCTTATAGTCAGTCTAAACAATCATGACCATCAGAGCCATTATTCATGAAATGAAAAGAAAGAAGCTGTAAACCAGGACACACAGTTGAATACATTGTAAAAAGATTATATCCAAAAGCACTACATAAACAATAAAGGATGCATTTTTACCCTATCTGGTTATTGCTCACTATGCATGTTAAACTCAAGCAAAGCTGATTGAGTTAGGCATCAATTTTATGTCCAAAGAAAACAACTTTCCAAACATATTCAAACTTTGATCAATTGAACAATTTTTGGATTATTATAAAGAACTGGTCTATGCTAATGGATGGCATGCAAAATCAAGCCAGGGATTAATTAACAACATGAAGAAAAAGTTGGATGAAGTTCCAAACAGCTATTGATCAAACCTAAGGACAGTGGCATAGTGTGGGTGTCAGCCACCCAGGGCAAAGGAAAATTTCACCGTCCCCTTATTTAGGTAGCTCAATTTAAAAGACTAAAATTCAGTTTCGTCACAGAATAAGTAATGAAAAATTCTGTGCTAGTGTTGCCACCTTTTAAAACTTGCTGACCCGGACAGCAGGTGAGGTTTGTTCGAACAGAAGTTCCTGACGCATGCGTACGTCATTTTTCAATGCAAAGAATAATGTCCTGCTGGTTCTAAATCAGTTACAGTCAGCGACTAGGGAGACTTGGTTGGGAGTAATGTAAGTAACCTAGATGACTTAGCTCTATTGGATATTGGAGGTGTATATGAATACAAATGAATTGTACAAGCAAAAAAAAAAGGTTGGTCGACAGGTTATGCGCGGTATCACTGGGTAAAATTAATAGTTCACTCGGATGATCCAAATGGTAACACTATTCCCCTTGCTCATTTCAATTGGTCTGAATCATAGGTGCAACAAAAATATGAAATGAAATGGTTCAAATTTTTGCAAGATATTATTGTTATTTATTGTGAAATTTTCCTGCCCCTTAAAAAGTGCCGCCCAGGTCGGGCTGCCCCTGCCGCCCCCACTATGCTATGCCACTGCCTCAGGAGTTCATATTAGGGTTTGTTGTGCTGCTAAAATCTTTCTTCAGCATAAATGATACTGAGGACTCCTTGTTTAGCAACAAATTATTACTAATTTGCCAATATATTATTCTATTCACACAAGTAGTCTTATCATTTTGTATTAAGTTTTGAATAAATTATACTTCATAATGAATGAGCACATTTTTTTCTGAATACCTTATTTTGAATTTTTTATATGCTTACACTAAAGTAAATATGAACTTAAATATTAGTTAATTAATCATTATTTAAATATTAGCTTATTATTAATAAATTTAAAATATTTTTTAAATAAATTTGTATGTTCTAAACAGTGAAAAATTTTAACATGATTTATTTTGACTGCAATTTTATATTAATTGATTTAATTTATAAATTCTAAGAAATTCAAATAAAAAATTGTTTTTGAAAAATATTATTACCAAATATATCATTAGCTTGTATTATTATTATTATTATTATTGTATTGGTTGAATATGTACAGTACAATATGGCTTATATATAAACAGCAAATATTAATACTTTGCCAGACTAAGATCAAGGCATAACTGCATGTCAAACTATTACAGTATTTTGTTTACATAGTTTATGTATGTATCTATATTTAAGAATTTTCTATTTGATATGTGTTTAGAATGGCAGATTTCTGTAGTGTGATTTGTGTAGTTGTTGTGAAGCTCTAATGTGTACTTTTGAGGAAGAATCAGTCTTTCTATAGATGACATACAATGGTGTTTGTTATGTTTTATTAAGGTTGTTTGTGTTTTTCTTTGTAGTTGTTTAAGTTCTATATGTGCCAATGTATAACTCCATATGAGTACTGGGAAGACATAAGTGCCGATTTATTATTATGATAAATTGCAGATACATGAAAAATTTTGATATATTAATATATGATAAATATATTTATTAAAATATATTAAATTTAATAATTTATTTATAAATTATTATACAATCAGTTAAAATCAGCTGTATATATATCATTATGTATGGTACAAGAGATGATTGGAAAAAGGTTACATGTCCAGAATATAACAAGTAGATTGTATTAACCTAATATGGTGCATGTTTGGTCAGGAGAGAGCACTAGTGCCCATGTTACACACACAAACATGATGTCATGCTTGTGTGTATAAAGAGGTTGCACTGACAAAGCAATTGGCAACTCATCTGAAAACATAGTTTCAAGTAGAAGTGTGATCAGTTGTGCAGTTTTTGTGGAACAAAGTGCCAGAAGCCAAAATTTATCAACAGTTTATGAGAAGGTAATGTCAAGACAATATATTGTAGTTCCTGATATGGATCCACTATCACCACCACGTGGAGCTAACAAAAATTATAAATAAGCAGTTCGAACACAAGCCCATACCTTTTTTTTTTGTTCTATGCTTCATCAGTTAAGAACCATGCAACCTCAACCAATCACCATTGGTAATTGACCACCACAATATCATAGCAAGGAATTTTGTGTTTGCATCTGGCAGACAGAATGTGAGTAACTAGAATCCAAGATAAAGTAACCATCCGTATTCCTTGATGCCTGTGGTCAATGCTGCATGTGTTAAACTGGTAGATGGGACAGAAAGATAATGTTTCAGGTATCACTTCTCAAGTCAGTTGAGATATGGCACAGTGTAGCACATTGTGATAGACAAATTACATTACTCAACCATTGTGTGCAGATGGGTATCATGTGTGTTAACAGATGATCACAAATAGAAACAAGAATGGAATCATTGAGTTTATTGCAATGGTATGCAGAACAAAGCCAGAATTTCCTTGACCAGATTGTGACTGGGAGTGAGACATGGCTCCATCACTTCATCTCACCTGTAAGAAAGCATCCATGGAATAGAAATATGTTCACTGTGGAAAAGAAAGTTGAAAGTTACATCATCTGCTTGAAAGGTCATAATATTTCTGGGATTCTTCAGATGTGTTATTAGTAGAATAAATGCTGATTGGTACTATTAAACCATGGCTATTTTTACAGATGTTTCTGGGTATTCCTAGCAGTTGTGGCACAATAGTTTTCAAAACTTTTTTGTGTGTTCATCATTCTTGCAATCACAATGCAAATGTTTTAATTTCACCACTTTATCTACTATAATATTAGTAAATATTTTTGTGATCTTTGAAATAGTTATATTTGCAAGGAGCTGAACTATATTAAATAAAAATAATAACAAATATGATCATTTTTCTGGAAAGATAAGCAAGAATACTACAATCTTGACCAGAATTTAAAGAGAAAATTGGTGCAAAAGGTTATATCTAGATCAGATCTTCCATAGAATGCTTGCATTTGTGTCAGATTTTGACAATCCTTTCTAAATACCCAGAAATGCAGGCTGCAGCACCACTTCTTGCAGTGTTCAGTACTACATAATGTCAAAATGAATTATATCATCAGCTTTTGTGAATAACAATGCCCTTTTTCAACACTTCTGTTAATTGTATTTTGAACATTTTATTCTACTCTCTTAAAAAGATATCTTTCAATTAATTCTCATTAAATAAGACATAAATAAATCAAAACAAAATATTCATTAATAATTTAATAACAACAATTAGAAAAAAAATCATAGATTTATTGCCATGATACAATAACACTAATTAGTTAATTCAAATTGTTTTTTCTAATTTACAATATCGTAGTTTGGTGTATAAAATTTAAACAGAAGATTCGCCAGCAATTGCTTCATGATTGACAGTTAATCACAATTGACCTACACTTCAAAAAGAAATAATTACCATTCTTTGATAAAGGAAATAGATGTAATTAATCAATAAATTGATTAAATCAATAGCTTTGGCAGCATACATCAATAAATTGAATATTGATTTCTATGTTAATTGATTATTTGGAATTATGGAAATTAATTCCTTTTCAATGCCTATCAATACACAGTACATTAAACAGTTGTGGTACTGAAACATGTTTTTTTATAAATGACATTGAATGCCTCTAATGATGAAATGGTGGCAGTCACATCAAGCTTAGCCAAGTAATAAGATCCAACCTCATATATATTTAATAGACATGGTAAGACACCACAGAAATTCCAAGAGGCCATCAGAAGAAAATGATCAAGTCTTCTAAGGGATATGTAATTTTCCTCTATAAGAACATAACTAGTTTTAGGAACATGACTTCACACGTTACTAAGACTGTTGGGATGTCCTGGATCATATGTCTTAGGGTACATTCTACATGGCAGCATCAAGTAACCATGGGCATGAACATGCTACTAAGCAGAGATGACAAACCAATACAAGAGAATATGCATATCTGGAGTAACTATGCTAAGGATGCAACAACCACCAGATGATACTTCTATATGCACAAGCAAGTTTGATTGCCACTTCTATTACTCATACTTTCAAAGAAGAACAAAAGCTAGATCTTCTTTTATTTCATGATACAAATGGTGAAATTCACCAAACTGATGACATTTCTTATAAATATCATATGCCTTTTGCCTGTAAGAAGTTTTGGTACTACAATGTACAAAATTGTTTTCCTTGACATGCATTCAATGAAGTTGTCGTGCACCATTTTGTAAACAACACATGTTCATTCTGGACAGTAGTGACTGACCAGCTGGAAGTACATACAAAGATTCTTTCTGTCTGCATTACTGTATGTTGCCACATAAGACAGCCTTACAGTCCAGATATAGTTCTCAATAATTTTCATTTCTTTCTTGTCCTGAAAGAGCATATTTCAATGCAGGAAAGAGATTAAAGATCAATTTTCATGTGACAAAGGCATCAAAACAGCTGCAAAAGCAATAACAGTATTTTTTTGCATCTGGGATTAAAAAGATGGTCATGCAGTCAGGTGAATGTCTTAACTGCCAAGGTGATAACATGGAAAAGAAATGCTTTGCAGCTGTTGGCACTTTCATGTAATAGAAGTCAGAGCCGGCCCTACCATAGGGCGAACAGAGCAGCCGCTCCAGGCGCTAAGTCCTAGCGGGGGCCTCAGTGGTAAAGAAAATTAAAGGGTATAAATTAGGGGCAACCAAGGGGGGCGCCATAATAGAATCTCGCTCCATCCTAAAACTTGCCTCGGGCCAGCACTGATAGAAGTAAGAAACATATTCCTTTCAAACATATGGTTTGTAACCTTTTTTCTAATCACTCCTTGTATTATCAGAAACAGAATGTATAATATTTATCAAAATAAAAGCAAAAATTCTTACTGAAAATATGATGCAACACTCCAGCCATAATAATCTGGAGAAGATACATTTAGAGCATAAAGGCAAGCTGTAAAAAAGTTTTATACATTTGAAATTTTTATATGATTGAATAAATACTTAAAATTAATATATAACCATAGTCAGATTTAATAATCATTATTATATATTTTAAAAATTTAATAATTGCACCATATAAATTTTAAAACCATTATGAAAAAAAACTATAGTAATTACATGTTGAGCCAAAAGAAGCTTGACATTTGGTCCAACGATAATTATCTTTTGTATTTACAAAGGAATCCTTGAAATATACAAAGAGCCAGGAAATAGGAATAGCACCATATACTCCAATGAAAAAGAACATGAAAACAAATGCTACACCTAAACCTGAAATAAAAAATTTCTTTTAATAATAATTTTAGAACAAAATATATTTTCAAAATTTATAAAGTTTAATTATAACTAATATATAATTATATAATAATATAGTATAACTTTTTTTTTAACTTCAAAGTTTCAAATCTACACCATGTAACTCCAGTGCCTAGCATCTTATCCACTTGGTTATTGCCATTACAATATAGTATAACATATAAGTATAATAATGTTAACAACTGCCTAGTATAATTTGCATGACACTTATTTCATGATGTTTACATCATAAATGCTATAAGTTGCAAAAACATAATTTATAAGAAAAAATTTTCATATTCATTTTCATATTAGATAGATATAAATAATCAAATGTTTGACTGTTTTTGGATGCTTATTTAATGTTTAAAGCCATTTTATTTTTGTTTTTTATAACTTATCAACTAGTAATTTTTGAAAATGATAAGCAAGATTTTAAGTAAGTACTTTCAACTCTTGCGTAGTTGAAAGAATTGTTCTTACTTAAAATTTAATTTAATTTTTAACTAAAGTAAAATCTATAATATATAACAGCCTATAATGATAGTGAAAGATTTAGGTTGATCTTTCTTTTCATCTTTTAATTTTGACAAAAATTATTGGTTTTAATATTTAAATAATATGAAATATAAAATTAAAATTAAATAAAACATTAAAAATTATTAGACACTATTTTAATGACTATTTAATAATTTAAGTAATTTATTAAATATTTATTTGAAACTAGAATTCTCAAAGATGTTTTTGCTATTTCATCTTAATTTTTTAAATTCTTATTTTATAACTTCCATCACCATTATCATCTGAAGAGGAGTTCAGTGTTATGTTTGCTTATTTTATAATTTAAAAATTATGAAAAACAACTTAAATGTAATATAACTTATACTGGTAATTATTACATTTTATAGTTTTTTTAAACATTACTGTATTACAAATTTAGTAACATATTTCTGAGGAATATAACATAACATGACATTTTTAATGACAAATTTTTTATGAAAAAACTATCATCATAAAACATTATTTCTTTCATTTTGTTTATAATATTAAAAATAAAAATTATTTTATTAATTTAAACTTTAAAATGT